AAACATTAAAAAGCCAAGCATCGCTCCCTGGGGCGCCCGAGAACCCACCATGAACCCGTGCCTGCCCCCTCATGCACTCTGGCAGACAAATGTCACAGACAGCGACCAGGGTCAAAGAGCAAACGATGATCAATTTCCTATTCAGCAATCAGCAAGAGGCATGCACAGGACAGCCAGACAACATGGTCGAACACGGCTAGCAAGGAGGGTGCGGGGATCTATTTATATAAGTGTGAGTCAAGGAGGGCTGCATTCAGAAGCAAATGTCACTTTGTAGCTTAGGGGGTCACTGAGAGCCGGAGTCAGATCACATATGCAACCAAAAAAAACAAAAACCAGCAGGAGGGACAAGCCCAGGAGAGCAGAAACAAGTGGCATCCTGTAGGTTGTTTTTCTAGACCGGTTAGAACAAGAGTACCTGATCCCTGCACACGGTTTGGGGGTTTCATTTTGCCTCAACAGGAAGTCCTGCCGCTGCATGGGTAACAGAGAAAGGAGGGGGCGCACTGGGGAGTCCCATGGACCCTTCTCTCGCTGAACGCTCTTCGAGTCTTCACCGCTGGATACAAATAATAAGCTCTATCTCCCTCCTGAGAACGTCACATCAACAGCGAGATTATCTGCAGACTTTACTGCAAGCGGAAACCAATAGGAAATACTTGTCACAGCAGCTGTCTGTTATTCACTTAGATATAGGCAACCCTTGTTAAACAAAAGCGGCGGCGTGACCGGTGAAGGCATGCATGGATGGCCTGGACGGGGGGGGGGGGCTACATGGGCACAGCCGGCACCCCTTGGCTGGCAGAGCATGGTATAATCAGCGGGTGTAGGGATGATTTGATCCGAATCACAGATTAGACATCAATATCAGCTGGAGTTGCAAGGGAGACTCTCCAGAAACAAGCCCGAGATCGATGGAAGATAAATGGATATCCAGATAGACGGGGAGAGGATTGGAGAGCCAGCCAGGGCACAGAGCAGGCAACTTTTAGAAGCCCGCGATGGCTTGCATGTATCTAGGTTATGGCACAGGGTAGGGGTAGGCAACTTTGGCACTCCCATCATGCAACTGCCTCTGGGAGTTATGCCTGTGGCTGCCCTCAGGAGGCTAGCCATTCCACAACAGCTGTATTGCCAGGTTGCCAACCCCAGTGGTATCAAGTAGGTTTATGCAAACCTCGGCACCCCAGCTGTGGTGAAACAACAAACCCCATCATGCTTCTGCCTCTGGGAGTCATGTCTGTGGCTGTCACAGTCCTGCAATGCCTAGTAGAGTCTTAGGCTGTCAGAGTCTTGCAATGCCAATGGGGCTAGTAGTTCAACAACAGCTAGAGTGCTGAGGATGCCAACCCCTGTGGTATAGATCAGGTTAATGCAACCTTCGGCACTGGAGCTGTGGTGAAACTACCAATCCCATCACGCATCTGCCTCTTGGGAGTTATGCCTGTGGCTGCCAGAGGCTTGAAATGCCCCATGGGGCTAGTCGTTCCATAGCAGCTGTATTGCCAAGGTTGCCTACCCCCGTGTTATAGAGTAGGTTTATGCAACCCTCGGCACTCCAGCTGTGTTGAAACAACGAATCCCATCATGCATCTGCCTCTGGGATTCATACCTGTGGTTGTCTTGCAATGCCTCATGAGGCTAGTAGTCCCACAACACCCAGAGTGCTGAGGATGCCTACCCCTGTGGTATAGAGTAGGTTAATACAACCTTCAGTCCTTCAGCTGTGGTGAAACAACGAACCCCATCATGCTTCTGACTCTGGGAGTCATGTCTGTGGCTGTCAGAGTCTTGCAATGCCTCATGGGGCTAGTAGTTCCACAACAGCTGGAGTGCTGAGGATGCCTACCCCTGTGGTATAGGGTAGGGGTAGGCAACCTTCGCCGCTCCAGCTGTGGTGAAACTACCAATACCATCATGCATCGCCCTCTCAGAGTCTTGAAATGCCCCATGGGGCTTGAATGCATGAAATGCCCCATGGGGTTGCCTACCCCTGTGATATAGGCAACATCAGTACCCCCAGCTGTGGGGGACACAACAAACCCCATCATGCTTCTGCCTCTGGGAGTCATGGCTGTGGCTGTCAGAGTCTTGCAATGCCTCATGGGGATTGTAGTTCCACAACAGCTAGAGTGCGGAGGATGCCTATACCTGTGGTATAGGGTAGGCAACCTTCGGCACTCCATTTATTGTGGAACTACAAGTCCCGTGAGACGTTACAAGACTGACAATGACAGGAATGACTCCCAGAGGCAGACGTGTAATGGGATTTGGAGTATCACAGATGGAATTGTGAATGCTGCCCACCCCTGGTATAGGGAATAGACGTTAGTTACAATCAATGGACTCGTCCAGCTGAATGTGACCAACTACAATTATCAGGATATTATTGATAACTAAAGAAACAGTCACCAGTCCCAACTCCTCGATAGAAGGATGTACATAAACACCTGTTCCTTTTTAGCCCAAAACCAAAAAACTAAATATTGCAGCATGTGTTTTCTGGCTCCCCCCCCCCCCCCCTTTTTTTTTTTCTTTTGCTTCCCCACCGAGCCCC